CGTCGATTTCAAAATAAACTAACTGTTTATATCTTATTTTTTTTATAGAATGGGCATAATCAAGAGGGCTACTGATAGCGTGTTGTAAAAATAAGGTAATTAAGGGCTTATTTTTTGGTATTTATTATAATTTTGCTAATATCTTCGGTTTGAAAGAAGATATCAAGATGCGATTTTCGCTGAATTTTTAAGCTTTTACTACTCTTTATTATCAGTTAAAATTACAGATTCTATCGTATCTAATTTTTTCCGAAAACGGAGTCGAAGACAGCTATGGAACGACAGTCAATGATAATCTTGCCATTAATGCCAGTTTGCGTTAAGAAGGTTGACATTTATTTTCATATTCAGTAAAAATGTTTTTTAAATGGTGTTTGGTTTGGTATAAAATTCAAGATAAAATATTTTTCCGTTTCTAGTCTTTCTACAATTGATGTTAATTTTTAGTAAATGACGTCTAGAGATTGACCTCGCCAAAATTATCATTGATTGCCAGTTCTATGGGTCCCATCCCCATTTTTGAATAGTTCATTGTTGATTAGTCTTTACCGATACTAACGAAACTAAAATGACTTGGTTTTACATGAGATATCACCATTTTCTTATATTTTATGTTTTTGATGGAATTCTAAAGTACGACAGATGATAAAATTAAATGTAATTTTAAAGAACTATTTTAATGGAATTGACTGAATTATTCAAGACCTTAATAATCGAATCCAAAACCCTTTTGTACCTATTTCTAACTCCAATTCGATTAATTACCTATACAACAACGTCGCTAATAGGAGCGGTTACACGGCCGAGACTGATTTCGGCCCTTTATTAGATCCGATGCTCTGTGTCAGATCAAATTTTTAGATGATTGTGTTCCGGCCGACCGAATCGGACTCCAAAGTCCCATGAAAAAATACGGCGGACGCTTCACCGCACAAACAGATAGAGATACAGAGAGAAACGCAATGAAATTCCCTGACCAATCTATGTTTGAATCATTAACATGCAAATGAGTCTGTTGCCTAGTTCGTTATCCTGTTCTCGTCGCGATTCGATATAGTTATATACTTACTGGCAAACTTTTCTCATCATCGTATTTTTTCTAGCTCTCTATCTTGTAGGTTTCAATTATAGAACAGTTCTACTATATGTAGGTTGTCCCAATATTCCGTGGACATACAACTACTACGTATTTTTGGAAACAAAATAAGTTCATTGGAAATAATTTACCTCTATACAGAAAACTTTAAAAAAATAAATACATTTTTTACAAATTATATTTGACAATAAGCGTCATAAAAAGCTTAAAGAAATTAATAAATTTTAAATTAATTTATGTTCGGGTTTATTTATGATTGATGCCCTCTAACGGACAAACGAAACACTTTTGTATAAAGGTAAATTATGTACAATTAACTTATTTTGATTCAAAAAATGCGTAGTTGTTCTATGGTCACGGAATATTGGAACTCCTTGTATATTTTGTAGGTCTGTTTTGGAAAAATAAATTTTCCAATTTTTTCTCAAAAATTATGCAATGTGGTGTTTTTTTACAAGAGACAAAAAATTTATTAAATACTAGAGAGACCAGTTTACGAAACGAACATCTGTCGTGTGGAGTGGGCGTAGTTTCACCATTCCCGTATTTTTCTTGATTTTTGTGGGAGTCAAATGTTAAAGCGCATAGTCACACAAAATTCTATTCAAATCAGAATAACGGCCAAAAGTCTTCATCATTGTTAACATTTTGACATTCTGTAACAATAACAAAGACAGGCACAAAGATATAAAATGAATAAGTAAATAACATTATAAGAAATACATAAAAGTTAAAAACACATTATCAGTATGATTAATTAAGTTAGATTAACCGTAAATGGATTGCAAATACATATTCATTTCTATTGTTAGACTAATTTCGTCGATTATATAATTACTTTTGAAATATTACAAAGGTTTCGAGAAAAATGGAAAAGGAAAAATGGAAAAGCAAATGAAAAAACAAATAGAAATTCCCTAACTTTTCATGTTCAACCTGATTCAATGCAAAAAGTCACTAAAAGTCTGCGTGACCGGCATTTTCAAGAGACTTGTTGATTCCCTTCGGGTATAAGATAAAATGCATTTAAAACAGATTGCAGTTGGATAAAAAATGATTGGTTCCATTTTAGAACAAACACACTCAGGACAAATAATAATAAAAGTTTTAATTAAAAGTAAATATTTTCCATTTCACTAAAAGACTTGTTAGATATAATAGATGTTTTTTACATGTTGTGTTAATCTTATAATTGAGTTTTTTGGAGTGATGAGCATTATACATAAATATCTGTACCCTAGAAACAAACTATCGAGGGGTGTCTCACTTGGGTAAAAAATATAAATGTACTGCCACAATATCATTTTACTGCTAAGCGATTGCCAATGACTGCGAAGGAGATTGCCTATGTCTGCCATATATGCCATATATGCCATATAATTATAGTCGACTGTCGTAAGGTTAATGCCAACGACTGCCAACGACTACCAAGAAAATATACATGTAATTGCAGACACCCCTCGCAAACTATGTTCAAAGTCCAAAATTGGTATAATTGAGATACACGTTACGAGCTTTTTATGTTCTAACCTAGAACTGTCCTGAAATCAAAGCTATATTAGGTATTTAGTTTAGATGATCTCTACTTAACTTTGCTATAAATATCGTAATCTTAAATAATACAGGATGCTCAAAATTCTACACCAAACTTTCTAAAATATAAAATATTTCTTTTTCGTTCTTTTAAATGGAACACCCTGTATATTATTTTTTTATTAGAGAGATAACTAAAAAATGAACGTATTTAGACTATTTCAGAATTTTTAACGGTTTCGCTGATACTCGCGTTATAATTCCATATGGCTCTTTCAACGGTAAAATACTAGAGAAAAATCATAGGGTGGCTTTGATAAAAATTTACTGTGGAAAATGCATATGAAATATAAAACCGCGAATATCTGCAAAACCGATAAAATATTTGAAATACTCTAAATACTAATAAAAATATACAGCGTTGTTCTATTAAAAAATATTTAGTATTTTAAAAAGTTTGGAGTAGAATTTTGAACATCCTGTATGATTTAAGATTATTATATTTAAAGCAGTAAGTAAGAACAGACCATCTAAAGTAAATACCTATTATAGTTTTGATTTCAGGACAGTTCTGGTATTTTTAATAATTTTTTTAAGAAAGGCTGAAAAAAATATAATTTTTATTTATTTAATAATATCTCTGAAACTATCGAAATATATCTACTCATATCTTAAGATCATATAAAGTGATCTGAAAGTAAGCCAAAAATGTAATAATATACAAGGTGTTCCATTTAACAAAATCATCCCGATCCACTCAAACTCTTTTGAGCTACCCTGTAGAAGATAAACTATTTTCCTGAAATACATCCTCGTACATACTTTAGGTTTGCACTTAAACAAAATCTCCAAGTTTTTTATTCTAGGAGCTACAGATGACAGATGCTCGACGCACTATTGCCGGACACTGTATATCAAAAACCTATTGATGATTTAATCAAATAATATTTACAATATGTGGGCATCAACCCTGAAAAGTGGATATGATTACTAAATTACTATTGAACAAGCATATTCACAATTTTTTTTTAAAATCAATTTACTTAAATTAACATTATTTTTACTTAAGAATATTTTTGTTTTAAAGAAAGAAATCCTCCTAATCAAATTATCTAAATTTAGAAAATCATCGCAAAAAAAAACAAAGAAAAAATCGGGTATCATTTTAGACCTCTGGAATTAGCCCCGTATACACGTTCTACCCGACACCGATTCGCATTTTCCGTCAAATCCAATAAACTTGCCGCCACGGCGGAAAAATTCCCGTGGCAAAGAGGATGGACCGAGGGGGTGCGTGGAGGCACCGTAGCGGAAAAAGCGGATCTTTGGAAGTTTTAATTCGCTCGCCTCTGGTAAACAGACTCAATAAAGTCAACGGAATGAACACTTGAAAACTAATACCGGGGGGAGGTACCACAAAATTTATGTTTTCTTCTCGTCGCGTCCTATGGGATGAAACACAGACCGTGCGCACACGGGGGGTCGTCTCAAACTCAAAGCGGAAGCGTCTCGAACTTGGAACGTATCTCCCTCCACTCTACTTCCTACGTAAATAATAGTAAGTGATTGATATTATTATTCAGCTACGAAGTAGTGTGGAGGGAGATTTGATTCGAGTTCGAGACGCTTCCACTTCGAAAGCCAGACGACCCGTGTGCCGACGCTCTTATGGTTTTATTACAATATTCCTTAAGTTTAATTAACCTCATTTATCATCAGTGCGTTATCATTTTATTATACGTGACCATCGTTTTATTTAGATTCATCTTCAGTCCATTGCTGTCGAAGAAATTTCTCAGGACTTACAACCGAGCAAAATCAAAGACTTTCCTTGATTTAAGTAAGAACCTTCGTATTGTCACGTGGTTTTTAACCGGACACTATCTCCTCAACGAACACCTCAGTGGATTGAAGCTAAGAAACAACGGCAACCTTGTGTGCCCCCCTTCCTTGGGTTATAACTCATCACACAGTCATCATACATTTTCCTGTTGTACGGGGGACAGGGTATTTCCCACCATTTTTTGACAACAGATGTTTTTCCTCCGATGTTACACACTCTTTCACGGTTGGTGTTTGGCCCTTCGTGCCCTTCACAGTCGAAGAGCTCGCCTCCGGCTGAGGTACCCGTGAGGTGGAGGCTGGAGAATCTTGTAGCATTTTATTTAAAATACACATAATTTATATAAATGTACAGAATTATTTTATTTAAATAAATCAAGTTTAAGTCCTCGCACCGAGATGGCATTCTAAGTACTGCTATTATCTTTTATTTTTTTCTTCAAGTTTATTTCTGGCGAAATATTTCAGTCCGGTCGACGTTTGTTGGACACTTTATATCTGACGGTGTATAGTCACACTTCGTGCCTACCTTCCCTCGCCATATTGGTGGTAAAGGCTCAAACCGATAGAGCAATCGGCGTTTGTTGGCATTTTGCCAATTTGTTTAGGAAAACCCTCTGAGCAGAGGTAAGACTTTTATTTTAAACGTAACGTTTCCTAATACCTTTTTTTATTTGTACAGGGTTTTATTTTATGGTACGCATTTTGTTTTATGGTAGCATTTTCTGGTGCCATTTTGTTTTTTGCACCTGACATTTGGGCCACGTTTTGTCCCTACATTTCACACCGGGAATAAAGGAGGAATCTCCTGAATCCACACAAGTTTTCGATCCTGCCTGTGCAGAGACGTTTTTATCAGAATCCAGTTCCAGTAGCAGTTCACCACAACCAGCTTGTGACCAGAACGGATAAAAAAGGCCAGATCATTTCATTTCATTATATCTATTTAATTTAAGTTCATTTGAATGCATTAAGCCCTTCAGGCATATTATATATTTGATTGCTTTAGAGTCACTTTGAAATATTCTATTCATGTTATGTATATTTCTGATATCTACATAGTACGGTTTTTTTAATATAAAGAGTCCCTACATTTTGGTACCAAGATCGCCAGACTTTTTGCGGAATAATTAATAAAATATTAATATTCAGAAGCGTGCAGATTTAACTACCATTTAGAGTGATCTATTTTGATACATACAATTTACCAACAAATATTTTCAAACATCAAATTTTTCATAGCCTTATTTTATTCTACTTAACGTTTAATTATTAATTATACTTAGTTATTAGTTTATCTCAGCGTTTCATTTGTGTAATTCCTAAAATAAGTAATACCTATATTCTGAGTTGATTTCTCAGTTCTCAACTTAGAAGTTTTCGAAAGTAAATGGAAAACTGAGTGGCGCCTAGTATATTATAAAGACGTAAGTATCACAATTGCTCACCGGCGAACAGCTCCGTCGCATAGTATTAGTTGTTTTAATATTTTTTCCAAAAGAAAATTCTTATAAAAAACATTCCATCATTTTTTTTATAACTTCTAATGCTACAATCTGTTTCCATTTTCTCCACCTCTTTAATTTGGTCTCTCTTTAGACCTGATGCCGGTGTTGTCCCGTATCTATAGTAGAGGATATATCCCTCTTTCTCTATTGCCTTCTTGGATTTGTGGTCAATTCCTATTGTGAGGGCCTGACCATAAGTCATGGTCAGGTCCTCACAATAGGAATTGTGATCAAATCAGTAATAATGATCCATGACCCTCCTCCTTCGAGTTGATGACTCGCCAACTCGATGTCTTTACTTCTGAGTTCTGAGCCTCCTCCTTTCTTGAAGAAGCCTCTTTTAAAGCTACTGCTATTCGTTTTGGTAAAATTTAGTAGTACTACATAATATATTTATACCGTATGATCGGAAAAAACGGCGTCCATGACATTTCCAATATAAATTTACATATAAAATGGCAGCGATCTTCAAACGAATGGTAAATTTACCATAATAATCTGTGGCAAGAAATAACCCTCAATATTGTTATTAAATTCACAAATTAATGTTTTCAGTGTAGTTAATTGTAGTAATGACGTTAACATAGCGAAAGGAAAGATTCTTCCTTTAGCCGAAACAAGCCATCTTTGGACTCGAATTTGCGCACTTTTGTACCGCACTGCAAATTGAGTTTTCGAGCGAATTCTTTGGCAATTACGCCCCTCGCCAAACACTGAACGTTGTGCATGTGTAGAGGCAGCAGGGGCTAAGAAAGGAGAGTTCCTTAGCTTTGCAGCGCATAGTTTTCCGACTTAGTATGCGAGAACGGTGCCGCAGACCGAGGCGAATTATCCGTTTTTGGCCGTTGTTGTTCGCTGCCGCCGGAAATTTAAGGCGAATTCTAATTTATAATTAAACTTCGCAAAGAGAAAGAAAAGGAAAAAGGGTTAACGGAGCGCCGATGCAATTGAAAGTTTCGATGCAGCAATAAAACCGATGTTAAGAAACAACTTGTATAAAGTAAATTTGTCTAGTGAATACTTTATGAACATACCAGTAACTATAATTATCTGACAAACGGATCTGAAGCAGCGAAAGGAATGTGAGCAAAAAAATCGATGTTACCAAGTTTAACAATACAAGTATATTCCAGCATACATAATTATTATACCGTGCTGGCAACTGTTACTTTTGGGTCGGCATTTACATGTGTGGAAGTAAATCGCATAGGGATCTATGCGCATGAGAGAAATGCGACGGTGTGCTGTTGCGGCGTTGCCGGTACGCCTTTCCCTATCAAGTAAAGTAAAATCACGATTGCAAACCGCTTATTTCTAAAAGACTTTTTTTCAAGAGATTACTAGATAAAATCATTAGACATGTTTCTGAGCATCTGAAATGGAATTATAAGGATATCGTTAAGGTGTCATTTTTTTTATAACGAGAAAACGTTAGTAATCGCGATAATTTAAAAACTCAACTTTTTAACACATAACAACAGGCCATAACTCAAGAACCACTTTAGATATTGAAACTTTTTTTTATTTTCAATGTAAGAAAAATTCGATAAGGTTGTTTTTTCCATTCAAAAATTGTAAACAATCCATCCATTTACTTTTAGAGCATAGCAATTTTCAGCAGTCGTATAATTTTTTTTATCGATAAAGATTTTCACATACTGTTTACAAAGAAAATACAGCAGAAATATTACCAAAGTTCTTGAAAAAACTACAATCTATTATTTCTAATAGATTTCGAGATATCGATTTTTGAATTCTAATAGCGCGACCACTATCGAACACCCACTCAATTCCACTTATTTTTACCAAAAATATAAGTGTTTCTAGCTTGCACTTAAAAAAATTCAAGCTATAGGGAAAATTACAACGACTCGTTAATAAATAAACAAATTAAGTATCACGAGACGTAATTAAATCGTGAACCTGAACGCATGACGTACACCTTTCTCTAGAACTTGACAGAGGTATTGATTCGGTCGACCGGTCAACTACGACAAATCTGCTATATCCCCTTCCACGTCTCTTAGCGATGTGCACAGTTTCTCGGTTTATTTCATACGTTTGGCAACGTGTTTACTGTCCTCTCTTTGTTGGGTACATTATAAACGCATTGTACTCTTCTTACATACGGAAATCTCGACCCAAGACTAACCTTTGCCAGCCCTTAGTATAGCTATATGCTAATTACAGGGTGGTCCTAACTGTATCCCGGAAACTTCGACAGCATATTCTGCAGATAAAAATATATAAAAAGTTCATATAAATGTATGTCTTAAAAGGTTTAGATTCGGAGATACAGGGTGTAGAATTTTCGTTTTTATTTCGATTTTTTCCAAATAATTTATGAAGTAACGTCAATATTCAGATGAAAATTGGTGTATGGGAGTTTTTTGACATGAGAAATTTTGATTTTGATGTCAATATGACTCTTATTTGTGGCGCCACCTACATGTGTTTTAACTGTTTTGAAGAGTAATAACTTTCCGTCTTTACCTGTATAAATGTACTGAGTAAAAAAATATAAATTTCCATGATTTTTTACGTAAAAAATGTATCTTGGTAAAAATCGCTACGAGTAACCGTTCTCAAAATATTTAGAATGGAAATAGTCAATACGAATGTCATTATTGACAAAAAAAAACACGTTGAATAGATAAATTTTTCTGCAAAGAAATTATGATAAAACAATTTCTATTGAACCTTTTGACATAAAAAACATTTCAAAATTATGATTTCAGTCTAATAACTATTTAGTCAATATGTTTAATTTATGTCAATGATGACAGGTACTGATAATTATTTCGATTCCAAATATCTCGAGAACCATTACTCGTAACGATTTTTCCCAAGAGACTTTTTTACGTAAAAAATGCCGTAAATTTATATTTTTTACTCACTAGTTTTATACAGGTATACGGATTAAAAGTTATTACTCTCCAAACCAGTAAAAATATGTAGGTGGCGCCCTCTACAAGTAGGAGTCATATTGAAATCAAAATCAAATTTCTCATGTCAAAAAACTTCCAGACACCAATTTTTTTCCAAATATTTACGTTACTTCATAAATTATTTGGACAAAATCGAAATAAAAAAGAAACTTCTACACCCTGTATCTCCGAAACTACATTGTTGTTGCATACATTTATTCGAACTTTTTTACTTATTTTTATCTGCAGAATATGTTGCCGAAGTTTACGGAATACAGTTCGGACCACCCTGAATATTAACAAAGAGAAGGGAAAATTATTCGAGAAAGCCCTCAACAATCTCGTAACCGTATACACCAGTGTACAGGGTGGGTCAAATTCGACGCTTTTAAATGGAAACAACCTTTTCTATAGGAGATAGACAAAAACTAATATCGGTGTCTGGAGCTCAATTTTTGTCAAAAACATGATGGTGAAAACCGCATATCGATATCTGTTACCGTTTCGGAGTTACGGGGTATTTTTCAAAAATATGCATTTTTAACAAATCGCTGTAACTTTTTTGCCATGGAAAATTTTGTATTTTTATGCAATCATTTGCAAAGCACCCTTTTACGTAGAATTTAGTGGTTTAAGTATATTTTTTTTAAAATTAATAATTTAAGAATTATCAACAGAAAATTTGATTTTTTATATGGGACACCCTGTATATTTTTAATTAGCTGAAAAGAATTTAAAATTACCTTTCCAAAAATATAGCACACTTGATATTTTGTTATAATCCCCTTCGAAATACAGATTTTTTAAAAGTTTGCCACTTTTAACTAGTAGGCTTTGGACCCCTCATTGATGATATGCCCTTAATGGAACTCGACAACATATTTTTCCAGCAAGACGACGCACCGCCTCTGAACGCTGAAGTTATCAGCAAATATCTGCAGCCAATTTCAAGAATAATTGAATAGTTGACCAAGAACCCAGCCGTTGGCCGTCGAGGCCGCCTGACTTAGTGCCTATGGATCTAATCCTATGGATATATTTGCGGAAGAATAAAGGTTCCTTATTCTTCTGTATAATCTAGACAAGAATTAGAAATACTCAGCAGTTATGAGAGGGTATCTTTCATCCCCACTGAGTTAATGAATTCCGCAAGAAA